CAGAGCAAATGTATAAGACGCTGCACCAAGATCCATTTCAACTAAAGCCGCACATAGACTAAGGTTTGTTGATTGTTGCTGATTTTAACCGGGTTGGGTGAGGACCATTGTGATTTTGGGTGGCAGTACTGTGATGATTATTGTCTTTAAGATTGTTCTTGGCATTTAAGCATATTTGTTTAGGTAACAGTTATGAAACGGCCATTTTTTGGCATTCTTTTGTTTAAAAGATATGAAGTACTACAGTGCAAGAAAACATAAGAGTCACTTGCTACAATAACAGTAATATATAAACAAATAGATTTTAAAATTATTTTTTAATCTTTAATTAATGTAATTTTTTAATATCCATGGACTACTTAAAAGTTGACAGTCTAAGGTGAAATGCTGGTGTTGTAATACAGGCCAGAAACTGCTCATTCAAGTACCACTAGGGGTTAATTCAGTAGTCCTAAAATTTGTTGTGTTTTTATACAGAAACAATTGAGTACTGTCCGTGATACTTTTTTTATTTGCACTAACATACAATTTTGAGGACAAGCTTTTGGGGTATGTCCCCTTCTTCAAAGTACAAGCGGTACTATACAAATCACAAAGTTTCAGCAAAATGTTAGAAGGGATGAAAAAAAAAAAAAAGAGGCTAGAGATAAGATAAAGCAAAAGCAAGGGGGGGGGGATACTACACTCACACAGAGGGAGTCAAGCTTGAGCTAATAGTCATAAAACTGTTGGATAATGAGTGAGGAATCCTACATGAGTGTGGTTCTTATAGAAATTTTATAGAAATGCCCTAGGTACAGGTTTTTTGGAACTACAGCTATGTTAGATACAGAAGCTGACATTTTATAGGTCCAACATTTGTCAATGGCCATTGCGTATTAGGGTTAAGCATCAAAATCCAACACCATTACAAAGTTTAAAATTTGCAAATTCTTACAAATGTAGGCATTCTATTCTGTACTTTCCACATGATAATTGACACAAGAAAAACACAAGTATTTTAGAACTTTAGTTTTCGGTGGAAGCACATGCTGTTCTTTGATTCCTCGAGATTCTGCTGGTTCTACATTAGACTAACTGGCTCCTAAACTGCTTTTTAATGGGGCCACCATTGTGCAGGAGATAGTCATAGGTATGGGCTCTCTAATCTGATAATCCTAACTTTTGTGTTGTATGGAAAGAGGTACAAGTACATAAATGCCACTTTTCACTTTGCGTTTATCTATAACCTCTGTGTGAGCTGTAGGTTGCTGCTGAGCAATAAAGGTTACAAATGTTAGGATGTTAATGGACAAAAGTGCTATCATTTCAAATGTAATGTTGTTTATTTTAGCTGTGTACTCTATAGTATTGATAGAGCAAATATCTCAAAATTTCCAGATGCTAAGCTCAGTGGTTAAAAGATCTTTTTATTATTATTATTATTATTATTAATAATAATAATATTATAATACAGGATTTACAGTTTACACAGCGCTTTACATCATAGGGGCAGACAGTACAATTACAATACATTTTAATACAGGAGGGATCAGAGGGCCCTGCTCATTAGAGCTTACAATCTAGGATGGGAATTATTATGGTTTGTTTTAAATGTAAAGATGATTTAACTGAACTTAATATATTTTAATGCAGAGTAAATTTTGTAATCCTCTTCTCTGAAGGCTTGTCCTTGTCCCAGTGGTGTAAGATGCTATTGTGCCAATTGATGTTATGGATTTTTTAATATTTTAAAAAACAAAACCTTTCCAATTTGTGTTATCATAAAATGATGCATCTATTATTGCATTGCATGCAGTGGTGTAACAATAGCCATAGCAGCAGCCTCTGCAGTTGCTGTTGGGACTGTGGTAGGAGGGGGCCACATTTGAAAGGCCGTTAAGGACTAAATGGTTAAGTTTCCAATATAGAAGGGGGGGGGGGAGTCAAACACTGGGGGTTTTGCTAGTAACAGATCCCCCCTCTGTAGCAGGAAGCTTTTACTTGGCTGTTTTATCAGTCTAGATTATTGCCCTCTGAACTTCTGTTACAGACTGAATTTAACACTGTATGCCTAATTCAGTCAAAAACCTGAGAGTTTCTCCTCTACTAAAACCATATTGGACAGGTTAAGTTTGCAGTTGTACAAAATGGTTTAAAAAAATCTAGAGATTAAAGCTCAACTCTCGGAATTAATTAAAAAAAAAAAAAAAAAAAAAAAAAACTGCAGTGAGGCTCTACTGCACTGCAAGAGGGAAATTCTTAGGAACTCTAGGGCGATGAGGAATAAGGTGTAATACCTTAAGCTGGCCATACATTATACAGTTTTCCTGTTCAATTTCCTTTAGATTTACCTTCAACTATGTAGTGCAAGGGACTGTCTGATTGTATACAAATTGAAAGCGTTTAGGTTTGACTTCATATTTTATAGTTTTTTGTAAATCTAAAGGAAAATTGTACAAGAAATTGTATAATGTATGGCCAGCCTCACGCCTTGCTCCAGCAGGCTACCTCCATCTGTCTCCAGTTCCACAAAGCTGCTTCTATAAGATGCTCTGGACTGTGGTCTCACAATGACGTCATCAAGTACAATGCGACAGATACCCACTAGCCTGCGCAAAGGAGAGCACCAGAGCCTGCCGAAGCGGGGAGTAAGGCAAGTATTACATTTTATTTCTCATCCTGTTACGTTAATGAGTCTTTAACCCCTGCAGGGTTAATTTCTAGGGCTGGGTTTTACATAAGTTTGTGTTAGGGCTATAGAGTAGTGTGCAAGAGCATTAATAATTTTGTCATTATACAATATGTCAGGAGGTTCATAATTGTTATTGCTGTTAAAACTTTACGTTTTATCCACAGCACTGGTGCCTAGTAGAGTAATGACTATGCTTACTTAAGCATACTTTGTGTTAAAATCACTGAACTTCACATAAAGTGTCACATTTGATAGTTACAAGGGATGCCCATCAAAATTTTTCTAGGGGACACAATGATTTGTTGTTATGCACCTGATTACATATGATATAATTAGATGCATCACCTTAATCTACAAAGATAGTAATATTCCCTGAACACACCCTTGTTTTCAAATGCAAGCATTATATACTGTACACTTAATAAATGTAAAGATGAAATATTCTTTTCTTCATTGAGATAGTTGTCAGTGGATACCCTGTCAGCTTTTCTTTTTTTTTTTTGTTCACCTCTGTCCTATTGTGGAGATTTCCCTCCACTTCATGTCCTGTAAACACAACAAGAAGTAAGAGGAAATCTCCTCTCCAAATGGAGTAAATCCTCAATAGAATCTGGAACAAGTATATCCATTGGGAGAATTCCCTCTTCCTTTTCTGATGACATTGACTTCATTTTGATTACCGATGACAATGGTGACCTAGACAAGTCAAGAGGGCATATCTTCTTAACAAGGACACAGACAACAATAAAAGCATGACAAGGGCTCTAACTCCTTTCCACTCTATTCAATATCATATATTTGGCTATAAAGTACAAAGTTGGATAGAGCTGAGAAATTATTTAAATGCCAAACGAACCTAAACAGTCCTTTTTTGTTCCATTTTTACTGTTATCTGCAGTCTTGAATGTAAATTAAATTTGGTAAATTGATGGGTCTGATAATTTGTCATCCTTTAAAATGGACATCTAGGCAGACTGTTTTTTTGCCATATTAATTATCTTTTTTTCGATTAACACTATCAATCTGTGGAGTTAGAATTTGTACTCAAATCTATCGTCATGCATGCAAAAGATTATATATATAGAATAGGTTTGCATATATCCTTTATTTGTAAGTGTCTGCTTTATATTTAGAATGATCATAAATGCATTTTTTAAAAGTGCTTCTTTTAGCTAAAACAGAATTTTACTGTTTTTACAGAAGTCGATTTAAAATGTATGCTGTGTCCAAATGTGTAATCACATTCAACCCACATAACAGCCAGCACTATTTAACTGCAATTGTTCTTTTTACTCAGGAATATTTGTCCAATCAAATGCTCAATTCACAAACATTGGCACCAGATTAAGTGTAGAGTTATTAACTTTGTATACATACTTTGCATATTCAACTATTGGAAACCCTCATGAATTGATATTTTATCCTAACCTAAATGTTTCCCTCTGCTAGCCAGTTAAACACTTATGACATATTAAAGATGAATAACCTGTGGGATAATCTTTGTGAATTGGTGATATTGTGTGTTCACTCACTGTACACTTCTGTATGCGTTTGCACACGTCTAGATGACACTGTATTAAAAAACAGGGATTTTGGATTTCTTTTCAGTGTGAAATGGTACAAAATATACGATATATTAGATCTGGATTCCAAAAACTTCATGCTGATGCTTTTGGCTTCTATTCTTTGATTCCCTGACCCTGAACATGTTTATAGAAAATAATTCAGACTTTTCTGCAGCTTTTATTTGCTGCAAGCTTGTCCTGGGTCTGTGATTTAAAAAGTATTGAAGACCAGGCAGCAGGGATTATGGTAAGGAACCAAAAATGGTGGCTAACAAGTTCTGCTAAGTGTATTTTAACTGAAGTCTAGCCCACATATATAGTAGTTAAAGGTAACTTAAAACATTAGGTCATAGCAAAATATTGAAAAAAATAGCCTTTTAACCACTAGCCTACAGGGCACTTATACCCCCTTCCTGCCCCGCCAATTTCCAGCTTTCAGCGCTGTTGCACTTTGACAATTGCGCGGTCATGCAACACTGTACCCATATGACATTTTTATCATTTTTTTTGTGACAGAGCTTTATTTTGGTGTTATTTAATCACCTCTGGGTTTTTTATTTTTTCTTAAACAAACCAAAAACCACTGAAAAGTTTGAAAAAAAGCTTTTTCCTAGTTTTTGTTATAAAAATTTATAAATAAGTGATTTTTCTCCTTCACTGATATGCGCTAATGAGGCTGCACTGATGGACACTGATAGGTGGCACTGATGGGCATTGATGAGGAGGCACTGGTAGGTGGCACTGATGAGCATTGACAGGCATCACTGAATGGCACTGAAAGGCAGCACTCATATATGGCACTGATAGGTGGCACTGACTGGCACTGTTAGGTGGCACTGATAGGCGGAATTGATGCACACTGATAGGCAGCACTGACTGGCACTGATAGGTGGCACTGACTGGCACTTATGGGTGACACTGAAAGGCAGCTCAGATGGGCACTGATATGTGGCATTGATGTGGCACTGAAAAGTGGCACTGCTGGACACTGGCAGGTGGCATGGATGAGCACTGAGAGCTGGCACTGATGGACACTGACAGGTGGCACTGCTGGGGCTACACAGATCATCAGGGCACACTGATCGTCAGTGCTCTGATGATCTGTGTACATGTCCACTCCGAGGAATGACGATTACTGGCTCTCCTCTACTCACGAGCTGTCAGCGTGACAGCTCGTGGGGAGAGAAATGCCGATAACCGGCATTTCCCTGTTTACATGGGATCAGCTGATCACATGACCGAGTCGACATCTTCGGCTCTTTCCGTGGATTGGTGATTGCTGTGAGGGACACAGTTCGCATCGCGCGCTGCGTTAGAACGCATGGGGTTACGATGTCATATGACGTCCTCCCAGAACAAGAGAACCGCCTTGCGTCCGTCATTTTACTATATGGTGGGCGGGAGGCAGTTAAAGAAGCTTTTTTCCTTTGGGTTCCTAAAGCAGTTTTTTTTTCTGTTAGGTTCCTACGGCAGGTTATAGACTATGCAACTTTTTTTCCTGCAGCCAGTCAGTTCTCCCATCAACACAGTCAGTGTCGATAAGGAAATCCCTCCCGTGGAGCTATTGTGTTCTCCTGGCGGGGGGGGGGGGGGGGGCTAGCTGTCCTTGCTGGGATGTGGCAACACCCAGATATTGCAGAGTTCCCTTTTTAAATTTAACATTTCTAACAGTATCTGCTTGCAAAGCAAGGTGTTCATCTCACTTTCCCCCTCCCTTATTTCCTGTAAAGTAATGTGTACCAGTTTGTAGCTAGCACTCTTATTTTGTAGCTGGAATTCAAGGCTATATTCTACAGAGCTTAGAAAGTCTTTTGAATGTACAGAAAGTAAAAGAGGAAAAATGTGCATTGTGATGTAATTATTAGTATATACACTTGTAAGAAGTGGATAAAATTCCCTCGGCTTTGCAGGCAAGAGCGCTGTTTTTATTAAATCACTTGTTTTCTTCAAGGTCCGTGTCCAGAGTTTCCTGGTTTTCCAATGATAATTGCTAGCAGCTATAATAATCGCATGCTAAATATCAGACATGTTGGTTGTACCAAGTTGATCGATGGAGAGACTTGGGTACAGTCAGCCTGTAGATGGATGGATCGAATCAATTCAATCCATCTATGGCCGGCTTAAGTGATATCTCTCATGTCCCTTTCTTTATCAGCCTTCACTTGCTGTCCAAGTTTAGAAATAAAGAAATGCAATATGTTTGGTCCTTGTCTATGAACTATAGATTACAGATATAGACAAGCAATTTGTATTTTTCAAGAGCCTATTAATGTTAGCCTCCATATTTCTCTCTTGACTGGTGCACTTTAGGGTATAGATTTATGCAGAGATTTAGTTGTTAATGGACAACTTGGTATAATCAATTTGAGCTAAACTGTAAAAAAAAAAAAATAACTCCATAATAAACATCTTCTAATGTTTCATGTTCCTTTTTTTGTTGAAGATGGGTGTACACTAGGACACTACTCAAGGCTTGGTAATCTGATGTTCTTTTGGTATTACATTTACAGATGTCTGCTTGTACTTTGTGTTCCTGAGTGCTGGGTATAAACATGTTCTTTGGGAGGACAATAGATCTCTCTTGTTGATGTTGGTGCTATGCCACACTTCTCTCAGAGATGAATACACTTCACACAGTGAAGTACATCTCAGATGAGTTCAGCACTGAGTGGAGTGTCCATTAGAACTCACTGTGTGTGTGTGTGTGAAATTAAGAGGCTGAATTTTTTTTATCACATTATTGGGTATTTAAAGTGAACACAGCCCCACAAAACTTGATCTTCTGCTTGAATATGTTCAATGTATTATATTCTGTATCTTGTGTATATATAATATATATTGTGTACTATAATACCCTGTATAGACTAGATATCATTATAGTTGGGAAAGCTTGGTCATGTTATTGATCAGACTTGCCTATAAACAATAACAGAACATCTATTGAACCTAATCCTTTTACTTTATTGGTGGATGGTCAAATAAGAGTAGAATGTTTTGAAGCCTTGGGTAATCCCCCAGCCTTGTACTGTATCTAGTACTGAGAGAAGCCATGGTGCTCAGGACTCTTATCTGTCCCATGCCCAGGAACAGTGTTTAACCACTTGCCCTCCAGAGGATTTACCCCTCTTCCTGAGCAGGCCATTTTTTTATGATACGGCACTGCCTTACTTTAACTGACAATTGTGCGGTCATGCAACGCTGCACCCAAATGAAATTTACGTCCTTTTTTTCCCCACAAATAGTGCTTTTTTGTGGTATTTGATCTCCTGTGCGGTTTTTATTTTTTGCGCTATAAAACAAAAAAAAACTGACAATTTTGAGAAGAGAAAACAATATTTTTTTACTTTTTGCTATTAAACATGTCTAGTAAAAGAATTTTAAAAATCAAATGTCATCATAAATTTAGGCCAAAATGTATTCTGCTACATGTCTTTGCTAAAAAAAAATCCCAACATGTGTAAATTAATTGGTTTATGTGAATGTCATAGCGTTTACAAGTGGTGGTATATATACTATAATTTAAGAAAACATTTTTTTTTACTAGTAATGGCGGCGATCAGCGACTTATAGCAGGACTGCAGTGGGCATTCTGACACTGGGGGGGAACTGACTTGGTGTCACTGACATCCCCATTGACACCAATACAGTGATCAGTGCTAATAAAAAATACTGACACTGTACTAATGCACTGGGCAGGAAGGGGTTAATGTGTGGGGTGATCAGAGGGTTAACTATGTGCTGTTTCACAGTAAGCACACTGCTTGTATCACTCTGCTATTCAGAGCCAAACAAAGCAGTGTACAGGCACTGACAGGGGAGAGATCTGTGTTGTTTATGCACAGGTCTCTCCCCCATCGGAAATACTCGGCAATCACCGGGTGCCAGCGAGGAATCACCGGCTGGGACTCAGTGACTGACAGCCGAGGCTGCGCAGGTAGGGTGCACTCACGCCCCCTACCCAGAACTACAAAACCATGTATATATATATATATATATATATATATATATATATATATATATATATATATGTGATTTTGTGTGCCCGTGCCGCCCTGTATAAGTATTTCTGCTATAAGGCGGCACGGAAGCGGTTAAACAAAATAAAAAGTTATACCACTCATTGTGAATAGCAGTTCCCAAGGCTAGGGACTGAATGTAAACAAAGCAGGGGCAGGGTATCCCAGGTTATGTAATTGAACACATAAGGTCAATATTTAATCAATAATATGAACTGGTATATTCTGTCCCTTTGTTTACATTTACCTGTCGGCTAAGGAAATGTATGGTGAGTAGCCAGGGTTGTGGACGTATTGGCAGGCATCATTCATTCTAAACTGATATGGACCTACATCAATGGAGGATGTGATTGATAAAAGATTTACATCATAGGACATCTTTTGTTTTCAATAAAACACTGTCACCTAGGTTTGTGGGGGTTGTTTTTTCAAAAAAAGGAGCTTTTTAAGAGGGGTGTATGTGTACTTTTAAATTTTCTATTCAATTTTTGATGAATGCACCCCTTATTCATTCACATCCATTGACATAGAGAGTATCTGGTGGTTCCTTATTGGAAAGGGAGGTTCCTGATTCTGATACATTTCCCCTCACAACCACTGGAATAGGGTGGTTGGGAAGAGGCACTTGTGCTCATCAACATGGAGACAACGTTCTTTTTCAGGAAAGGTAGCCAGGTATGGTTTGGGAAGTGAGGGGTGCACACTCGCTGCCCCACCTTTCCTAGCTAAGCTGCTTGCTGAGATAAGGGTCTGGTATGGATTTTGGAAGGGACCCCATTTTGTTCTTCGCATGGGTCTCCCTATAAATCCATACCAGACTGTCAATTAGTATAAGGATCTGGTGTATATTCTTAGGGGAAACCCCATGGGGCCACTTTATTTACAAAGAGAACAAAGCAGCTAGGACATGTCATTAGCGACAGACAATTTAAGAGTTTTTTTTCCCCTTGAAAATGTCACTTTTTCTGTAGTACATGGTAGAGATGTGTCACTTTCTAGGCAGGTTAAAATGTCCCCTGAGATGTTATTTGAAGGAACTATGCATTTTTAATGTAGCCTTTTAAGCCTTGTTAAAGAAGTTCACCTTTGGGAACATGTTAAATGTTCCACCCAATTTTAGGGTGGAACATGTTCCCAATCCTGCAGCTGCCGCCCAATCCTCTCCTCTTTCTGTGACAGCAGTACGGGGAGTAGTTCCTCGTACTAGCTGTCACTTTTTAAAAAACGGCACCCAAACTCTGCCCACAGGGCTGCGTCATTTATTCACAGTGTTCTATGATTGAATGGATTACAAGTCCCAACAGCCTTGGTGGCTATCGACTAGTTCTCAATGAACTACCACGGCATTGTGAACGCTGTGGTAGTTAATTGAGTCTTCCTGTCAGAAGTATTGTCTTGCCTGTATGGGGATGTATGAGCAAGCAGATACACTGACAGTGCGCAGGAGACCTGCATGGCACCAGCAATCACATCCCCCTGACGAAGCCACGTGGACCTGTGGTGCAACGCATAGGGGAGGGTCTCTGACATCACCACACACCCAGGACGGCAAGTATAGGCTGTGTGCGGTATACAAGCGATTAATGTATACAAGTGATTAATGTTTTTTAAAAATGTGAGTGCAGCAATATAGTGGGTACTAAAAAAAGCTTTTTAAAAAGGATAAGGCACTAGATATCCTTTCTTTTATACACTTACTACGGAGGAGAATCTAGGAGAGGATCGGAAGGACGGAGGAGCAATCCCGCAGCATAAGGAGGGAGAGATCACAGCAGCCATATCTGCAGACAAGGAGAGGATTATTAAGGAGCTCCCAGGTGATATCCATTATCCATCAAATCCCAACGGTACAACAAGTGAATACATCAGGTTCCAAGCATGGACATAAAGTGATGTTTGCCTAATTCAATATTAGGCTTACATGGAGGTGAGCACATATTAAAGTCACAAATAGGAGCACACAAGATTCTGAAAATATCATTTTTGGATCACATTAGTGATTTATGGGACTGTCACTATATATATATTTAATTATAAACTGATTTATTTATTTGAGTTTTATCACATTTAAGTTAAAATAATTTATAATAAAGCACAGTTGATTATTATTATCATTTTACCAATTAATTGAAATATTTATCACATTAATCATATAATTGAATTTATGGTAATTATGGAATACGGCACAATTGATTATATATATTTAATTGAGGATTTAAATCACTGGGAAATATTTTGAGATATATTTTTTTAGTTAATTTTAATTTTGGA